GTGCGGCTCGGGGCGGGCAGCAGAGCAGGAGAACAGCAGAGAATGGGCCTGGGAGGTGCGGGGCAACTCTGTGCCCCCCACCCCCCCACTGCTCTGAAGCCTGGTACTGCCCATGGGAGACTCAGTTCCTCACTGGAGAGTAGGGTCCCCCACCAGCTTGTTCTGTGGCCCCCATCCCATAAACTGCTGGTTTCCACCCCATAAACTGTTACAGGAGAGGTCCCATTCGGGCCCCCCCCCCAACCTCCGTGCTGCCTGATAATGGTGCACCAGCACTGACCTGGAAGTGCAGAGTTTGTTTTTGAGGGCTCTGTAGGCGGTCAGTACTTGTACCGACTTACCTGCAAAGGGAGATGGGCGCCATAGCAACACGGCCGGTGTTCAGAGCTCTCGCTGAAATGGGAGCGTGAGCCCCTTCGCTGACAGAGATGTTAGATATTCGCATTAGTTCTTTTTTTCTGTTCCCACCTGAAAAGGAAAGAAAAAAAGAGACTTGGTAAAACCCTCTGTTAGAAACAAGGCAGGTACCAATAGGTGTGGCAGCAGCAGGAGGAATCAGGACTGGGTTGAAAACACCCAGGCCTGTGGGTCAAAGAGTCATGAGTTCGTGTGAACAAGTGAATGCAGGAATTTTCCAGACTAAAGTGAGTGAGATGTTAAGCACCTGGGGAAATGTGTCTGAATTTATTCTTCAGACAATGTCATGCTGCCCTAAAATTAAATGAATACAAAATACTGACCGACACCTTTCAATGAATAAGTTGATGTGAGCGAATGACTGACTTCTCTCCAAATAGAATCATAGAAAATGAGGGTTGGAGGGGACCTCAGGAGGTCATCAAGTCCAACCCCCTGCTCAAAGCAGGAGCATCCTCAACTAGATCATCCCAGGCACGGCTTTATCTAGCTTGGTCTTGAAAACCTGCAAGGATGGAGATTTCACCACCTCTCTGGGTAGCCTGTTCCAGTGCTTTATTACCCTCCTTGTAAGAAAGTTTTTCCTGATATCCAACCTAAACTTCCCTTACTACAACTTGAGAATGTTGCTTCTTGTCCTGTCATCTGCCACCACCGAGCACAGTCTAGCTCTATCCTCTTTCCAACCCTGCTTCAGGTAGTGAGTCAAGCTAACAGATTTGCCTGCTGGAACCTTATACAAGAAAATAGTGTTTTTGCTGAGGTTTTCTAGCTGTTCTCAGTAATTTACCTTTCCTTTGTTTTGAAGGTAATTAGAGTGACAGGTTTCATGAAGGGGCTATACACAGACTTTGAGATGAAATCTGATAATGTTAAGGTGGGTATGAAATTTCCTTATTTCATTATACCCGGCATGGGCAGTTACTTCTGTGTTGTCATACCCAGTTTCATGTAACAAACCTATCTTTCTTTTACAGTTAATGTTTTGGGGGAATAGCCTCAAATGTAGCTTTTCTGAATATATGAGATGGTGTTTTGTGGCAGGACCTAAATTCCCCGATTGTGGACAAGAGACCTATGGTGCTAGATGCTGTAGAGATACAAAATGATTTTTCATTTCTGCACTGAGCATACTGGAAGTTAAAGATACAACACTATTAAAAATAATAACTTAAAAACTATGACTTCTGCTTTTTAGGTTCTTTTTTGCCCATTATACATCCACAGACAACTTTCCTCTAAGACTGTATTTTCTAGGGCTAAGGAGGGAATTGTTATGTTTTGTTTTACGTGCCCCAATGGTTTGTCTCTGTTTTTGTTGATATTTTAATGCGTATACAATAACTAAGGATGATTCAAAAAATAAGTATAAGTGTTTTGAGTTGCATAACAACATATGCTGTACGAAAGAATGACAAATCATTTTTATGTTTACAGCAATGTGATCTTGCGGGGGGTTGTACAGTGAAGTGTATTATCTGAGTGTGTGCTCTTTTCTGTTCTGAGAGAGAGGTCAATTTTACTACAGCTTGAAAAGACAAACAAAAATTGTATCAGCTCTTTACTTTCACTGTTGTAACTAGCACTGCTCTCTGCAGTGAATTAATGATATTTCCAAAGATGCATATACAATGCACAAAGTGCTTTATTCTACCCATATTATGAGATGTGCTTGCTCAGTTTGTCTCCACATTAAGTGGGGAAGTTGTGCCTACTGACAGATTTTCTGTCTATGGAGAGCAGTTATTTTTGTGCCATTTCCCTTTAAGGCGAAGTCTTCCATAGGTAATTGAACTGCTGCAGCAGGGAGCTGGACCCGGAGTCAGCTGTTAAGTAGGGGAGGGGGGAGGGAACCATGGTGGGACCCCTGCCAGGCCCCATCTCCTGCATGCTCCCCCAGCTCTCACTGACCCCTGCCTGCCCCAGCTCCAGGTGCTTTAAAAAAAAGCCCCCACTCACCGGGTGCTGCCAGGTCGGGGGTGGAATTCCCACTGCCCCGTGCTGCATGGGGAGCTCTGCATGAGCCCCGTGACCCGCCCTGCTCTCCCAGGCCCCGCCATGGCTGCCCCACTCACCGCAGCTCCAGCCCCTTAAGAAAAGAAAAACCTCAAGAAAAACCCCAGGACTCACTGCTCTTATAGTGGCCTTGGGGCTTTGGGGGGCTCGTGCAGAGCCCCCCATGTGGCAGGGGCAGTGGGGATTGCCCCCTGCTGGCAGGAATGGTGAGTCTAGGGTTTTTCTAGGTTGTTTTTTATTTTCTTAAAGGGCCAGAGCTGGGGTGGGCAAGGCAGCCATGAGGGGGACTGGAGATTTGGGGGGAGGTTGGGGGGCTCGTGCAGAGCCCCCCATGTAGTGGGGGGCAGCGGGGATTGCGCCCCTGCCCAGCAGCACCCGGTAAGTCAGGGCTTTTTTTTTTTTCAAAGTGGCGGGAGCTGGGGCAGGCTGGGAGAGTGGGTGGGGTTTGTGGCCTGGATGATTCAGCAGAATTGATTTGGGACAGTGATTCAAATCACCAGATCGAATCACTGTCCCCCAAATCAGCCAAATCCAAAGTGAATACTAGCCACTTTTCACAGGCCTAGTTCTTGGTATCCTTCTTGTGAGCTAGGCTTAACGTTTTAGTACCTTGGAGAGTGAGTTTGCTCACTGCAGGGGAAAAGCATCTGTTTGGAAGCTGGCTGTCCTGTGAATTTACAGATTAATTCAGCAGTAGGATATTGTGGAAACTGATAATTTAACCACGTTGAAAAAGGGATTGTACAAATTAATGCAGGATAAGTCTGTCAGTGGATGTTAAATATGATAGTTAGGAGCAACCTCAAAATTAGGACTTCACAGGCCTCTGTGTGCTAAAAGCTGTAGTGGGGAGGGACAGGGCAGGGAACAGAATCTGGGTATGCTCTACATAGCTACTCTTCCCTTTAGCATCCAGTCCCTGCCACTAGGGTGGATGGATCTGTGGCCTGGCCCAGTGTGGCATTTCTTACATCCTTTGTTTGAACTGAATAAAGCTCGTAGAGGTTGCTATCATCACAGAAGTGCTTGTAGCAATATACTGTTTGTAATCAAGGTGACTGTTGTGCTAGAGACAGGTGAGGAAGTTAAACTGTTGGGTTTCCTGAAATGTACAGGATTCCAGGAGTTTGGTATCAGAAAAACCGTGTCATTAAAATTAGTTTAAACTAGGCAAAATTCTCAGAAGTACTATAGAAATAATAATTGATCTGGAAATTTATGAATTAAACCTAAAGATGAGGTCTTTATACTTTTAATTTTTTGTGCTTTTATTTCAAACAGAACATAACAAAACATTTTTCCATGCAGAATAGTGAGAGATTTTTATTTTGTTTTGCAGAAGAGCATTTATTTGACACTTTTTAGTAACATTTCAGACTTTTGTTTCTGCTTTTCATGAGATTTACCTTGCCCACAGATTTGCATACATATTTTCACGTAGATCTCTCATTATGTACATCAGAAGTTATTTATAGAGAAACATCTGGCCAATATAATTCTGTTTACAATAACAAGAAAAAAGGAAACTTTATAACCTATATTTTAAAATGTAACTTAATTTGAAATAGTGTTTGTTCAGTCTCAACAATTTTTCACCATTTTAGATTAGTGCATCATGCTCATTAATGGGCAAGTAACTATTTTAGTAGAATGGAGTTACAACAGTGCCTTCAGGAATTTGACTTCTTTTTCTTAATTTTCCTGTTGGGCTACCTGTTATATTTGTATAACTGTCCTTTAGTCAAACTTCTCATTTGTTGGTCTATAGATGATGCATCTTAGATACAAAAAAGGCACTTGCAGTTAAAATTCAGATGTGTTACCAGATAAAATGGAATTGCTTGCTTCATTCTGCTAGGAGAATTAGGAATTTTCAGTACTTTTAGCTGCTTTTCAGTTACCTGTTTTAACACAGTATTTTATCTTTATGGACTAGACTCCTTTCAAAATTGGCTCAACCTTTTTCTTGCCAGTCATCACAGAAAAGGGTGGATTCATAGATTTTTTTTTTGTGCCTAAGTTGGTGAATTTTTGTGAAAATTACTCAAGCTTTTTGTGTTCTCTAAAGGATTCAATAACTGAAAAATAATTATAAATCAGAATTTAACTCTGTGAATGAGGATTCATCCCTTAATATGTTCATTCATCCCTCCATCCTTGGAAAAATCTTTGAAAAGTCAGTCTCACCTCCATCCTTGGCAAATACTTTGAAAAAATTATCAAGGCTTACATTTGCGAGAGCCCGGCAGGACTCTGAAGGGGAACCAGCACGGGTTCATAGCAGGCAGATCGTGCCTGACTAATCTAGTCTCTTTTTATGACCAGGTTACGAAACGCCTGGACACAGGAGGAAGGGTGGATGTCATATACTTAGACTTCAGGAAGGCCTTCGATACGGTATCCCACCCCATACTGGTGAACAAGTTAAGAGGCTGTGACTTGGATGACTACGCAGTCTGGTGGGTGGCGAATTGGCTAGAGGGTCGCACCCAGAGAGTCGTGGTGGATGGGTCGGTTTCGACCTGGAATGGTGTGGGCAGTGGGGTCCCGCAGGGCTCGGTCCTTGGACCGATACTCTTTAACGTCTTCATCAGCGACTTGGACGAGGGAGTGAAATATACTTTGTCCAAGTTTGCGAATGACACAAAACTGTGGGGAGAAGTGGACACGCCGGAGGGCAGGGAACAGCTGCAAGCAGACCTGGACAGGTTGGACAAGTGGGCAGAAAACAACAGAATGCAGTTCAACAAGGAGAAATGCAAAGTGCTGCACCTAGGGAGGAAAAATGTCCAGCACACCTACAGCCTAGGAAATGACCTGCTAGGTTGCACGGAAGTGGAATGGGATCTTGGAGTCCTGGTGGACTCCAAGATGAACATGAGTCGGCAGTGTGACGAAGCCATCAAAAAAGCCAATGGCACTTTATCGTGCATCAGCAGATGCATGACGAATAGGTCCAAGGAGGTGATACTTCCCCTCTATCGGGCACTGGTCAGACCGCAGTTGGAGTACTGCGTGCAATTCTGGGCGCCGCAATTCAAGAGGGATGCGGATAACCTGGAGAGGGTCCAGAGAAGGGCCACTCGTAAGGTTAGGGGCCTGCAGACCAAGCCCTACGAGGAGAGACTAGAGAAACTGGACCTTTTCAGCCTCCGCAAGAGAACATTGAGAGGCGACCTTGTGGCTGCCTATAAGTTAATCCCGGGGGCACAGAAGGGAATTGGTGAGGTTTTATTCACCAAGGAGCCCCCTGGGGTTCAAGAAATAATGGCCACAAGCTAGCAGAGAGCAGATTTAGACGGGACATTAGGAAGAACTTCTTCACAGTTAGAGTAGCCAAGGTCTGGAACGGGCTCCCAAGGGAGGTGGTGCTCTCCCCTACCCTGGGGGGTCTTCAAGAGGAGGTTAGGTAGGCATCTAGCTGGGGTCATCTAGACCCAGCACCCTTTCCTGCCTATGCAGGGGGTCGGACTCGATGATCTATTGAGGTCCCTTCCAACCCTAACATCTATGAATCTGTGTTACTGCTTTGGGTTTTAGCTATTTTCCATGAAAGCCAAAAGGAATCAGCCTGCTAAAGGGTAATTGGGAAAAGTTATTTTAATGTAATTATGGAATTTAGAGTAGTAAATATCTGGTCTGTGTGCATTTAAAATGTAGATATTTGATTGTCCCACTTAACCTCTCTCCTTTAGTTGTGTTTTTTGCCCTTATATTCTGGTCTTGTATATGCTTAACTATAGTTGCTGTTAGCTCAGGGAAAGGTGTTGCAGGAATCTGGGGCCTTTATAGGGTAAACGAGGGCTATCCAACTGGAAGCCCAGAAGGGGTTACAGCCTCTGGGCACTACGTCGGTACCACACCTCACAGCACTCTGGAAGCTCCAGGCTCTCCTGTTCTTCCATTTTGGTTTCCTGGTGTGTGATGTGGGGGAAGGGGAGTACTGATAGTTCCGTGGGGGGTCTCACTCACTGTGTGAACCAGAGGCCCCCATAGTCTGTGCACGCGCAGCTCATGAGGTTCGTGGCGCCAATAAAGTTGGACAGTCCTGGTGTAAACTCTTCAGGGCAGGCAGGACTGCATTAGTTTTTGTGTGGTACCTTAGAAGTCAAGGCTTTGTAAGAAAGTTTTTTGAAGAATCTTCCATAGTTGCTTCAGTATTAAAATCTGTTTAACACACAATCCTGAGGAAACAGCTCATTGTGTACCTAAGTCTTATAATATACCTTAGCTGAACACCAATTTAAATTAAAACGATAACATTCCATTTTATTCACTTATTCAGCTACCATAGTTATCCATTTTTAGAGTAATCTTTTCTCAAAGTGGAATAATAATGGTTAATTTGTTTAACTTGGGAAATTTTCTGTAAGTATACCTGGTTCAAAGATTATATAGACTTTGATCATTGCTGATTAGCATCATTTTTATTGATGTATTATTTTTTCAGGATAAAGATGCCAGAATCAGCTTTCTCCAAAAGGCAATTGATGTTGTCATAATGGTAACAGGGGAGCCATTAGCAGTGAAACCAGTCCGTATTGTAGCTGGACATGAACCTGAAAAAACAAATGAATTTCTCCAAGCAATTGGAAAATGCTGTCTCAATAAGGTAGAACCTTACTTTTGACGCTTTACATCTGATTCCAATATTTTTAGTCCTGTGTCTTGCCTTTTCATATATTGCTATGTTTGATTTGTAGATATGACCAACTTCACTGGCACTTGCCCATGATTTATATGTATAGAGAGATGGCACAATTATTATATTAACTACAGTATAATTAAATTCACATCCTGATCCTTAGCTTTTGTATTCACGATTCAGATCCTCAAGTCATGTACACTTTGTATATATCATTATTACTTTTTACCCTTTTAGTTGAGCAGGGAATCCAATTCACTTTATTTACCACACAATTGCTATGTATTTTCACGTTGGAAGCTTTGGTATTTTAAATAGCCTTGAATGTAGGGCTACTTATTAAGTATTTATTATCCACTTATCTTGAGCTCCTCATCCATAAACAGCCTCCTTGATCATAGCCTCAGCCTTGTCAGTGATCTGTTCAAGAGCAGAGACAGATTTAATGCTCTTCCAAAGACTTTCTCTTTCATAAAAAACACAAGTTCAAAACACTTGAGCTAATGATAGTAAAGAATTTGTGAGGATATTACCATAAATTACTGTAATATTTGATGGTTGTACAAAAGAAGGATTTAGGTTGGCTTTGAGCAATAATCTGTTAGTTTTTAAGTTTACCCTACACCTATTTAATAAAACAAGTATATTAGCAATTCATTAAAAAAATTAAAAAGCCTGAGATCAGGAAAAACAGTGTAGGAAATGAATGACCTACTGTTTCCTTCAGCATTTTGTGATGAGATCAAATATCCAGAAGGTCCTTTCAGCTGACTTGGATTGCCATAATTATCCTATTGATTTTTATTATTATTATGCAGAATATCTAATCTGGTCTGTCCTGTAAAAGAATCCTGTGAAGAGTCATCATCTTTATTTTAACTTGGGACTTTTAGTGTCGATCTCACCATGCTGCTTACCACTACTGCAATTGGAGCATATGTCATTCACACTCAGATATTAATGGTTGAAAGTGAAAACCCACAAAAATCTATTCTCTGTTTGTACCCCCAGAGAGGATTGGAACAGTCATATACCTGATTCCACTTAGGGATGATTTCAGTTTTAATGTCTTTAAAGCTTATTCTTTTTCAGAAGATCAAGACTGAACTGAAAAATTCTTAAGGGAATGGGAACCATTGTATACTAAAATTTTATTTTATAGTACTTGATCGCTGTTGTGAACAATATAGGTTTCAGTGTACATCTAACTTTCACCACCTGATTAAAAAAAAGTTCGGTTAATAGAGCATGTTTAATTAATACAGCATGGCTTTTAAGGTGAAGGTGTAATAGATGCTTGAAGACATTCTTAACATGATCCCTGATGCCTGTTGGAAGTGCGCTTCAACATAGGTTTCCTTCCATTCTTGCGTTGTCTTCTTAAAAAGAAAATCCACTCACTAAAATGAAGAAACAAGACAGTGTATGTAAATAGAGCTTAATGTAGTTAAGCACATTTAACCAGTCAAAACTGTCATAAATTGATTATAAAACAATTCATGTAGTCTTTTCAAGTCAAAAGTAAGATGATGTCATGAAAATTGCTAGAATTAGGAAAATATAGAGAAACATGCAAGAAAGCACTTAATAACATTTAAATGAAAGAAATAGATGGAAACTTCTGACTTCTTTAAAGCCATCATGTAGACCAGTGGTTCTCAACCTTTTTTGTACCAGGACCCATTTGTAAACATTATTGATGGCCAGACCTGGCCCAGGAAATAGTTTAAGTAGAAAACACCCTTCTGGCCCTGCTGGTGCCCCCCCTGATCCTCTGCCCCTCACCCCCAGCCTCCCAGTGTGGGGGACAGGAGGTGGGTGCTTGTGGGGCGTGGGGTGGGGCATGTGTCCCCCCCGCCCCATATTTGTTCACCCAAAGAGGACATGGGGTTGTAGTCTGACCAGATTGGCATGGGCAGGAGCCACTTCTGCAGCCCAGTGGGAGGGATGGAGTATAGCAGCAACACTCATTACTGCCACTGCTACCACCACTGAGACCCCTACACCAGGGCAGCACAAGCAGCACAAGAAGTAACAGATGGATGGGAGGGGCCACGCTGCCCTCCCATCCTCCTGCTGCCAGCCACTGATGCACTGGGTTGTCGTTCTACCCCTCCACTACAACCCAGCCACTGCTACTGCTGTCAAGCTGCCCGCACTGCCTGCCATCCCATCTTCCCTCTGGGGTAGAGCCATGTCCTGAGAGGAGTGGCAGTAGTGGCTGGGCTATGGTGGTGGGGTAGGGGGTGAGCGGCAGGTGGCGGGAGGAGTTGAAGGAACTGCTCTCCTCTGCTCCCATCCATTACTCCTAGTGTTGCTGGTGGCATGGCTGTCACAGGTGTCCAAGTGGTGGCGGGAGCAATGAGTCTTACCTCCCCATTTGCCCTCCCACAATGGGTTCTGCCCGCTGGGCTGTGGAGGTGATTCTTGCCTGTGCTGGTCTGGCCAGTGCAGCCCTGTGCTTGCTGTGGCCACACACATCTTAGGGGCAGCGTGCCCCCCTGTGCTCCCCTGACATGTTGCCTGTGCCCCCACCTACCACATAGACCTATCTGTGGGGAGCTGCAGGACCAGCTTCCCATACTGCCTGGCTGCTGCATGCATGTCTGCACCACATGCATGTGGTGCCTCCTGCCTGATCATCTTCCTCCCATTCCCCCCAGCCCCAAGCAGCCCCTTGCCAGCCTGCAAAGGGAAACCTGTGGTTTCCCGTATTTTTCTCCTTTAAAGGAGAATCCATTTTTAAAGTTTGTTTGTGACCCTTTCATATATTCTTGCAACCCACAGGTTGAGAAACAGGTTGATGTAGACTATTGTCTTTAATTTGACTAGTTTTTTTACATCTCCACTTGTAGTTATCCAGTGATGATGCTGTGAAAAGGGTCCTTGCTGGGGAGAAAGCTGATATCAAGGGGAAAACTCCATCTTCTTCTAAATTTCAAGACAAAGAAAATAGAGAATCCAGGGCAGAAGAACAAAAAAGCCATAAAGATAAAGAGGTGGATTCTACATCCTTTTTGGGGGGGAAATTACTATACTTTTTTAGATTTCCATTCTTGGATAGAAAATACTGTATAATAGTATACCTGCCTCAGAACTTTAGTTGTAATCATATTTTTAACTCTCTGTTTTTAGGGTAGAGGCGACTCTGAAATAAAAGACAGAAGCACAAGCAGAGACAGAAAACCTAGAGAAGAACTGAAAGATGGAGAGAGCAGACAAAGGGAAAAGGAAAGTGACAAGCATAAAGATAATGACAGACGCGCAGGCCTGGAAAGGGACAATATTAAGGAGGGTGAAAAACATGAGAGAGACGCACATAAAAACAGAACAGCTAAGCAAGGAAGAGAAACAGAAAAAAGTAGAGACAAAGAAAAAGGCGACACTGAACGAGAGAAAGACCTGGACCATGATAAAAGACGGGAGAGAGACAGAAAAAATGATGGAGGACGAGAAAAGGACAGAACGAAGGTCAGGGATAAAGACCGTGAGAAAGGTCTGAACAGGGAAAAAGACAGGGAAAAACGAGAACGTGGCGAAGATGGGGAACATTCAAGAGAACAAGGAAAAGATAAAGCAGAAAAAAAGGTAAAGCGAATCTTATTTGGGGGAAGAAACGTATGGTTTTCTCAGCTTTATTGTGTGGGTATTGAATCTATAGTAAGTTTGCACGTAACATCATGTAATAACTTAACCACAAGCAAGTTCATTTGCTTTCAAAGGCAATATTTTTCACTAAGCAAAAAGTTCATTATAGAATTGGCTTGCTCTTTTAAATAATGAATACAAGAGGCTCTTCCTTCAAAGCCTCCTCTCCTGCTCACTTTATTTGTCCTGGTTAGCACTGATCAGGATTGAATGTGCATGTGCAAACACTGTTTCTATACTTCAGCTACAGGATAACATTTAAAAGGAGGTATACCAGTCTCTTCAGAGCCATTAAAAATGACTCCTGACGAGGAGAACTTTGGAAAATAAAACCTAGAAGGTGCCAGGACACTTTGCATTTCAGTTGCAGGCTTATGTGTTCTACTTAAAGATCCTGGGCTTTTGGTTTCTGTAAGTAACTATGCAACCAACCTCCTCCCTACAAGCAAAAGTCAGCCATTAAAAATGTTGAATTATACCCTTTCTTTGTGGACATAATCTTGTCTAAGTAAGACAAATAGTTTGGCAACAGCATGATATGTAAAAGAAAGGGAAGTTGTGGTAGTCATGTTACAAAAACGGAGTAGGGGGAAGGACTCTAGAGCTTTCCTCTATAATAAATGAGGAGTGGACAGTATGTGGAGTGTCCCAAGAACATCATCCTGGAAGACAGCTTTTCCAATGAGATCTGCTGTGTTTGATAATGTATACTTTTTAACTTTTTCTACCTGAGACTCTAAATTAGGGGACATCAGGGACATCTAAAGTATGAGAACGGGTTAACATTGTTTTGTGTGAGAAAATAAATTTATAGACCTGTCCCCCAATCTAGAGTCGTCTTTTTCTCACTGAAATTTGTTCAAAAAAGACATTATTTCATATTGGGTTTTACATGTTCAGTTTATCAGTGGAAACATCCTTTGATGTTTGGTGCCATCTGGGTTTTTATACAGGCACTGCACTGTAGGAAAACCTTATTGGAGTGCTCCTGTTTGCTTGGAAGGATTCGCCTTATGTCAGTAATGACCGTAGGTAGGGCCCTACCGAATTCATGGTGGGAGTGGGCTTCTCTTTAATCTTGCATGTTCCCCTGTGCACCCCTCTGCCACTGATTGGTGAAGGGGCCTCACTTGCGACTTGCTCTTGATCGGCGGGGAGGCACCATTTTTACCGCCCACCACTGATTGACTGAAGAGCCCTGGCAGCTCCGCTGCTTGCTGCTGACCAGCAGGGAGGCAGAAATTATACCATGTTGCTGCAGCAGCATTAAAAATGGACCCACCTGAAGGGATACGAAGGGCTGCCCTAAAGAGGGACAGAGTGTGGGGAGACGGACTTTGACCCAGCAGGAACACCATTTGCCCTGATGGCAAGTGAAGCTGCTTTGGAGGCAGCCCTCTTTGTAGTGGGAGGAGTGATGTATAACCCCAGCAAGGTTTGAATGAGAGTGATGTTAGCAAAAGCCCAGGAAGAGCCCTGGCAGTTTTTCCTGGGGGAAGAACAAAGGGGAAGAGAGAGAGGCTGGAGGTCAGGGAAAGGACCTCACCATGGCTATGCCCTGGCAGAGCTCTGGAGAGGTAGCGTGGAGAGGCTGCACTGGGGAGAAACAGGGCATGCTTTCTCCCTCTTGCCCCCCTTGGAGTCCTTCCAGGGTAGACACAAAAGAGCTGTCTGTGAGGAGACCCTGCTACAAACCCTGTGTGGCTGGGGACCGTAGGGGAGGAGCCACCGCCTGCTGCACCAAGACCCCTGGAGCTCGTGAGAGAGATGCAAGCAGCAGGGACTGCCCATGGCTTCTATGCCAGGGACACAGATGCAGTCCTGCTCTCCGAGACACCCAGCCAGGGGCAGCGTACACAGTTAACCTGGAGCATATAAGATAGAGACTGAGTGTGTAAATAAGTTCCTGATTGATTAGTTGGTGCATCAATTTAGTTATTTATTGGTTCCTTATTGATGGTGGGTAATTTGTATACCTTCCCCTGGTGTAATGTGCATCTAAGAGTCATTAACCCTTAAGCCACCATCACCAGGTTATGCCGTGTAACACTTGTTTTATTACATAAATTGTATATTATCTTGGAAAGAAATTCTGTAAATAATTTTACAGCAGTCTGCAAGGTTGTTTTGATTGTAAAGGGAGGCTCTCCACTCAGGGACCTTGCAGTACTTACCCAGGGACATGAGCAGGGCTACCGGCTACCCCAGGATCCCGCTATTCAGGTGAGGGTGTGGGTAGCGTTGTGCCCAGGGTTACAGTGTGGGGGCTAATCTGGGATCTCCTGGTGGTATACCACGCTTAATAGGTGCCACATGCCTGTAGCGGAGTATCTCCCCCACCTTGCAGCGGGCTTGTGATTCTCTCTCCCCCCCACCAAATTTGTTTTTACCCCACCGTGGGAGTATTGGTGTAAGGTTTCCCAATTGTTAGGGCCATGGCAGAGCTTCTGCAGTGGTGCATGGAGCTGCAGCTGAACCCGGGAAGGCACTTGTGATTACTAATGTTCTCAAGGACCTTTCAGCAGAAACCATTCAGGATCTGCTCAGGGGGTCTTCTTGATGCCTTGGACTATGTCAGGTGCAAGGAGTCCGCCCTGATAAGAGAGGGGACCATTAGATGTCAGTGTGTGAGCTGACAACGACAGTGGATGCCCTACGTATTCCCCAGTGCTGGAGGTTGTGGATGAGGAAGTCTGGACTGTAACTAGTAGAGAGGGGGCCCGTGCCCCACCCAGACTCTGGAGGCGGCTCTGAGGAACCCTCCCCTAGGGGACTGAAGGCCCTGCACCAGCTGCCCTGTCTGGGAGTGGGATAGGCTCTGGAGCACCAGACCCAGACTGGGCAAAGGCATTGGGAAAAGCCCTGAAGGAGGCCCTCCAACCATCACCTGAGTTAGTTGCCTACAAGAGGCTCCTCATATTTTCAGAGAAGGACCCACTCCCTCCAGGGGAAGAGACTTTTCAGGCATGGCATTCCCATGTGATGGAGACTTTGGCCTCGTGGGCAGTCTCAGAAGAGGAGAAAGTGGAGGTGGTTGCTGGAGAGTCTCTGAGATCCAGCTTTTGAAGTGGTTCAAATGATTAAGCAGGAAAACTCCAATGCATCAGTTCTTCAGTGTCTTGAACTTCTGTCTAGCATCTTTGGGAAATCAGTGCAAACTGAGGCTTTGTTTCTGGAATTTAACAGAACATACCAACTCAAAGGGGGAGACAGCCTCAGTCTATATCCTGCGGGTAGAGGAAGTATAACAGCAGCTAGTGGTCCAAGGAGGACTCACTCTGGAGATGGCTGGCAAAGCTTGCTTGCAGCAGCTCTGGGTAGGGATACTTTATGATGAGCAACTGGTGAAGGATCTCAACCTCACTAGGAGAAGAGAGGATCCCCCTACGTTTGGGTAGTTGCTTTGGGAAATGAGGGAGGCTGAAAGCCTATGAGCTGTAAAGGCATCCATCGAAGCTTGGGGGTTTGGCCACGGCTCCATGCCCACCACGACGGTTGCTTGTTGAGAAGCCGATGGCACTTGACTTTGACGACGATGTTCCAGAGCCACTAGCCATACTGCACCAGTGAGCCCAGGTGAAGCGAGGAAGTCAGCCCAGGGCCTCCCAAGGCTCCCCAGCTATCAGGTCGCAATGACTCAGCCAGCCTGTGGGGACGGCAAAATTTTGTTCACACAATCGATTTAGTATCAGCCTCTTGAAGGCTCAGATCAAGTGTAGTACCAGGCTTAGTTGGCTAACGTTGTATTTTCTGTAACCTAGTTGCGTTCCCCTTCCCATCTCTCTTATGTTAGTCCCTTGCTTGGGCGATGTGTATTTCCCTACTGGCTTTGTCATCTTTGTGGATTCACAGTCCTAAACATCTACTAATAAAATTCAATCTGTTCTTATCAGTTTAATCAATTTAGTTATTTATTGGTTCCTTATTGATGGTGGGTAATTTGTATACCTTCCCCTGGCATAATGTGCATCTTAGAATCATTAACCCTGAAGCCACCATTGCCAGGTTATGCCGTGTAACACTTGTATTATATTAGTTATATGTTATCTTGTAAATACATTCTGTAAATAGTTTTATAATGGTCTGCAAGGTTGTTGTGATTGTAAGGGGAAGCTCTCTGCTTGGGGACTCTGCAGCAGTTACCCAGGGAGCTGAGCAGGGTCACTGGCTACTGTGTATCCTAGGATCCCACTATTCAGGTGAGGGTGCGGGTAGTGTTGTGCCCAGGGTTACAATTAAAACCACAGTTTTCACTTCCCTGCTGATCAGGAGTGAGCCGCAAGCAGGGCCTCTCCACAATCAGTAGCAGGGAGGCTGCTGCAGGATTTAAAGAATCTTTAATTCTCTGGGGGAACCTGCAAGATTTAAAGAAGCTGCACCTCAGCCTACTTCCACCATGAATTCAGTAGGGCCCTATCTATAGGATGTCAGCTGAAAAAAGAGAGGGGGAAAAAAAACACGAATTTTATCACCCTCAGAATTGTATTTAGTTTCTTTAACCCAAATACAGGTCATTCAGTGTATTCTTAAGTATTACAGTGGTTGGATATAAATTATTTGTCTCATTTTAGTCCACAGAATCAGAGGAAACTAGAGCAAGGAAAACTAAAGACACCAAGAATGAACCAAACAATGAGGTTAGTATTGCAGAAGACATTTTAAAGGTAGATATCTAAGTATTGCCTTTTTAGAATGTATTAAGTTAGGCTGGGTTTTGGTGAGTCTTTCATACATGAGGATTACTATAATTCAGAAAAAAACATGCTTAAATTGAATGAAAGTGCTTACAAGATTCCAAAGTCTTCATGCTGAAGTGCTGTCTGCTTAAATCATATGACACATTTCTTATATGACTAATAATAGTCATCCTATTTAAGCTATTCATTCATTCTTAAATTTTCTCTGTGCTGGGATGATAAAAATCAATGAGCCTCACTTTTTAGTTTTAAGTTCTGCAATATTTGGGTTTGGACACTTTAAGGGAAATTTATTTGTATAGAAACTGTTGTTAGATATGTTTTGGAACCTTTATTTCTTCTAGGTTTTATAACCTCTTTTATTACAAAAATGTTTTTACAGATACTATGTTGTTTTATTACAAAATGTTAATTTAGTAATGCAAGTCATCTTAAAGGGCTGACTCATTGGATTTGAATAGAAAGGAAGGAGGGTATGATGAAAACCAGTTGGTTGCCACTGAACGAACAGTAGCTGCAGGTCTTAATCTTGCTTCTAGTGAAGCATCTTGTCTACATCTGTCTCCTGTTGACTGAAGACAGTTTTGGGAGTGGCTGGTCTACCCAGCTACTTCTTTAGAGATGGAGACTTTTAAATTATGATAAAGCACTAAAAATTAGAAAAAAATAAAACTAGTCAATCCCAAGTCTACCAGTAGTCCTGTAGGAAGTCTGTGGACTCTTGACATCAACGTGTCTTCTATTTTGGATGACAGATTTTATAGCCATTCTTTGACTAAAATCCAGCCAAACTTTTCAAAATATTGGCACTTGGAATGAGAGCTTATAAACTACTTTTAAGCCTGAAGCAATTTTTTATTGCCAAGTTAAACTTCCTGCAAATTGGGATTTCTAATGGAAATTCTGAGGTTGATTCCAAACTATAGCAATGCTCTTGGGCATCACAATAATATACTAGTATAATAAAGTTCCATTTCCTTCCTTAAGTGCTTTTTGGAATTATTCCAGGGAATTTTGGTTTATTACTTTAAATTTAGATGGCATGCTTTTCCTTCTCTTACTAACATAACAGAAGACACTGCTTAGCCTACAGGTGATGAAAACATGCACTATAGATCTATGTAGAAAAAATGGCCACCTCTTTAGCAGTATAGAAAGAGAGTAGAATTAAAATGTTCTCAGTGAATCCTTGGACATGGAGAATTAAGATTATCACCCAAAGTGATTTAGCATATTTCCAGAACAAAATTATTGAGAAATTGATCTTAATGAACTGGGGCTGATCATCCCATCATTGCAGTAGTTTCACACCAGTGTAAATGCCTTGATTTCCATGGAGTTACTTCTGTTTTAGAACTGGCCTAACTACATTGAAGTCACTTCATTGCAGCTGTAAAACAGGTGTAGTAATAACGGAAAACTGGGCCAAAAAACAGTTACATAAGTATATGTATAAAGATTTTAATAGCATTATTTCATTAGTTTTACTGCATAGTTTCTTTACTTTAATATCTTTTGAACTTTAACTTTCTTAAAAAAATCAATCCATGGTTTATCAAGCATTTTGAAACAATTCTTTAGAGATTTAATCATTTGAATTGTTCTGTAGTGCAAGATTAGCTTTATGTAGATCAGTCTTCACTTGTCATGACACATGGCTATAATTGATTATAATGTAATGAAGTCAGTCCTAAATCATGTTGTGTCAGTGATTTTATTTGGACAATGGATATTTTTATTTAAAAATAAAATAAGTTGCCTTGCTTCCTAGTTTGAAACACCACATTACGGAAACAATAACTTAACATTCCTAAGCATTACTGCTTTTGACTCTGTTGTATAATTAGAACCCAAGCCTGCTTCTTGTGTATCTCTATATTACACATAAAAGTACATTTAAAGGACTTTAAGGGCGCAAAGTAAAGCACTCAAAAGTTAAGAAATGCCAGACATAGGGTTGTATATAGTTTTATTGTGATAATCTTTAATGATGAGCTAATATGCTATTTATGTCCACAGAATTTTTGTCTTTCTTAATGCACGTGGGCACTTCTGTGGCATTCATCCCTGTGGTATCTGAGTAGTTAAAAAATGTTCATTACACTACCAGATATTTAGCAAAATGCATCTCATCTGTCTGTGTAACTGCTTCACAATAAACAACAACCTACTTCTTGTTGGCATCCTTATTGTACAGTTAGGGAGCTAAGGAACAAAGGCTTTCTAAGAACCCTTAATTTGGGGTTTTCAGTAAGTCGGGACTAACTTTTTTCCGAATACTCAGTACAATAATAACACTTTATTGAAGCAGTACCCATTTATTTTTGTTGCAGTTGTGAGTGCTCAGCACATCTACAAACCAAATCATTTATCTCATGTTTGTTCTTCAGGAAGTGAGGAGCATATAGTTTGTGGCTATATTTGGAAAAAATTTAACCAACTTTCCTAGTATCCTTAGAATTTCTCCAAAGTAGAATTCAGCTGCCTTTAACCCTGACACTCCCCTTAATTTTCCTGTAATCCTCATTCTCATACATTATACATCTTTCAACTTGTGCAGTGATGAAGCAAGGGATTGATGGAGAACAGCCTCCTTGACTACACAAACCTTATAGATTCTCAGAGTAGATTCATCTCTTGCGCGAAATGGAGCAGGGGCCACAAGGAAACAATAGTATATAATCATGTTATTAAAGACTGTTCTTTAAAATGTGTACGTACATGAGGACCACATTAAGGTTGCAAAGGCAGCCTTACTTCTGGTATTTCCTAACTTTTGAGGACTTCACTTTGCAGCCTTATTGTTCTTAATGTTTTTTATGAAATTTGTATGTTTTTAAAGACGCAAACTTTACCGTGTGGCAGAATAGACACCCACATGGTTCATCGCTAAAGATAGAATCTTCAGGTCCACCACATAGACTTCTGCCACTTGAGCAAAAGAAGTTACTGATTACAGAAGTAGGTTGCTCCTTGCTGTGGACCAGTTACATAGGCACATGAGGTGTGCAGATGTTTCCTGACAGCAGAACAAGAGTGACACTTAAGAATTTGGGGGTCTGTTGCATACTCTGGAATGAATTTTGCTCTAGTGGTCACACAACCTTCTGTCTATTTCTCTCTCTTTCTCCTTCTGTAAATTTTGACCTCCTCTGCCCTGTCCCTCCAGTTCTGTTCCTGTCCTTCTCCCCATCCTGTTTTTTATCTAGGTTTGGCTTCTACACCTGGCACGTACTCCTCATGCTTCTTGTCCATGTCTCTTTGCTCACCAATCCATGTCTCTCTCTCCCTTCTTTCTCCAGACACTAGGTTTCTTGTCCCAGTCTACTTTTCTTTATTGAGGGTCTGAAACTTGCCTCTGCTGGGTTTGTGTGGCAGTTTCCTATTATACATATTCTGGGTGTCAGCAGGTGGGGCAGTGAGAGCACTGGTGAGAGCGAGAGGCCCCCTTCTCTCATTTGTGATGCCTGGAGAGTTTCAAGTTGAATGTCTTGTATATTGCAGTCCTCTGGAAAACTGTGTTTAGAAATATCTTAACTATTTAAATATACAGTAAAACTTTCGCTTAGACCTCAGTTGTTTAAGATCCGAGTTCTAGGCAAGATTCTATTTGTGCTCTTTCCTTCCTTAAAAGCATAATATTTTTCTTGCTATTTATTCTCAAAACTCAGTGGTGACGCGTACAGGGTGCATTGCGGGGCACGTGCACCCCCTGAGTGCTGGTGCACCCCCAGACAGGTCGTGCTCCCCACTTAGGTGACGGGCATGGTGGGCAGACAGGAACGCTGGTGTCCCCCCTGTGAGCGTCGGCTGGGGAGTGGGAGCACCAGATAAAGCATTTTGGCCACTTCCAGGAGTGCCATGGCCGCTTCCTGGTTGGTGCAATCAGCTGTGGGGGGGACCCCTCCCCCCCAGTTGGTGAGATTGGCCATGGGGGACCCCCTCCCAGTTGCTGACTTGTCACTGGGGTGGGGCACATGCCCCCCTGACTAAAGTGGCACCAGTCACCCATGTCAAAACTGATGAGAAAATACCCACAAACTTTAACAGGTTAAATTCCCCACATTTGACATTGCTTGTGTGTTGGTACTAGAGAAACCCTGTCTGTCATCCAGCTAATGGCGGTGATGGCTTGGGTATCTATAATTAATTTTCCAAAATTAAAGAGAATCTCAGTGGGAGCTAAAAGAAAACATTTTGATAATACACAGTAGATGATCTTAGACATGTATCAGAAAAATAACATCTTAATTGGGAGCAGGTTATTTATTGCTTTTAGAGAGATGGATAGCTGTGTTTGTGTGAAGTCAGTCAGAAGGTAGGGCTTGGTGCCACTTTAGAGATTAACTGCTTTCCCTTGATACCTAATAATTTATATTCTCTAAGGTGCCACCCTGCCCTGCTTTCTGCATCACTTTGTGATCAGAGGAAGTGAAGTTATACTTTTTTGTTTTTTATTTTCCTTGGTCCAGTTTTACTAAGTAGATTTATTTTAAAATAGATGTATCCATTGCATAACTGCTTCTCTTCTAAACAATAAAAGTAACTTTGTTTGTCAAAGTTTTTTGACAGAAAGGAGATCCAGGATTTAGGTGGACCTTCTGAAACATATGGTACTGTTTATATGAATGTGGCTAAAGAAGTTGGATAGGCATGTTGGTTTACCCCTAAGGCAAAACACATTGAAAAAGTATGTTCTAGTTTGCAGATGGCCATTGTAACTTTTGGCTGAAGCCCTTTCTAATATCCTGTCACTTTTGTCCACATCTGTGGTGACTTTTGTTATTGCCATACAAGCTGTATTGCTCTGGAACTAGTCATTGGAATCATCTGCTAGGTTGCATCTAATGAACTTCTTTCAAAGGAAAATTTCTATTAGAAATGATCTTGAGTATCTAATAAAATGATTTACTAGATCAAAGAAAAGTTAGCTACCCTGA